GGTAGCTTTAATCTCTTCACGTATTTGAAAAAGCTGGACGATGAAAGGGAAGACCAAAGAAGAATGGCTGCCTCTGAATTATGATAGAATATAATAATTATGATATTCATAATGATGAATCCATATGTCAAATAGAATACCATACATTTTTAGGTCAAGAATATTGAATGTACTTGCTAGAAGAGTGAACAAGTCTCTGTGGAAGAAGTTCAGCCAAAGCAAGGACACTGAGATTGTCTCATGTACTTTGAGCCCGTTAATAGGTGGTATTGAGAAGAACATTATGCTTGGGAAGTAGACAGCAAAAAGCGGTGGGTGTAACACTTGGCTTAACTCTAGGGCTGGACGTCTTTTCTTTTGTTGGACACTAGGCTGTGAGTTGGAAATGTGTGGCTTGACAGCACCAATAAACAGCAAATCAGATCTAATTTTGTTTGTCTGTCAAATAAGGATGATAATGCTTATTTCCAACTGTTTTCCTGAGAATTAAATGGTGCACTATTTTTAGGTATGTTTGGCACAACGGTTGATACTTAAACAATACTTTTTAGAGGAATAAATCATGTACACAATGGTGGTGGTGTGGGTGCCATTGAGTCTGTTCGGACTCCTAGCAAGCACACGCACAAGAAAATGAAACCCTGCCCATCCTGCATCGTCCTCAAAGTTGTTCTCGTGTGTGCGTCCATTATTGGAGCCACCTGGACTATGTGCTGGAATAGAATTAAATAAAACTAGAAATGTATGTTATATTACTATTATGAGAGATGCTTGAATGTCATACTGTTAAGTTTTTTGGACTAGTGAATGCATATTTTAAACATATGCATTTGAATTAAGTGTGTTATATTGAAAATGCATTGTACACCAATACTGTTATCCTACCAATTAAAGTCTCACATAAAAGCTTGCTTTACTACTTAAGGCTAATATCATTTTATCTATCTTAAAACTTTATTGTTTTAAATTACATTTTAATGTTTTATAGATTCCAGAGCAGGACTTCAGAAGCTGCCAAACTTGAAGCTGAAGTAAGCAAAGCACAAGAAACAATAAAAGCTGCTGAAGTCCTCATTAATCAGCTTGATAGAGAACATAAGAGATGGAATGCTCAGGTTTGTTTCAAAAGTCATGAAAGTGTACGTAAGATACGGAAAACCTGTAGTGTGAAAAAAAGAGAATTAGAGAAAATATCCTCTAAGGTTTAACTGGCTTAGGAGAAATTATCAAGATATAAATAGCTATATCAGAAACTTCTTTTAAGCAATATATTTTTGTAGCAGCATGTTGTGGCAAAGCAATCTATTCACTTTCTCATTTTCTCTTAAGTTATTTTAGGGAAGGTCAAGGACAAAATTGTATCTATAGAAAATTCACTACTCCCTAGTGATTCAGTTTTATTTTGCCTTCTAAGATTACTTTTAGGATAGTAATCTTAGGATTTGAACCAGCCATACCCGTGGGGGTACCCCCTGAAAATGGAAACACGCTCCGCTGGGCAGAGCTTGTGTAGTACACATTTTTCCCATTAGCCGAGCTTCAAGCAACTGTCTTTGAGTTAGTGCACCCAGTGGTGTCGCTTGGAAAGAGTCGCTCTGGTCACAGTGAATTTTTTCGTAAAAGTAGTTTTGCTAGAACCTCATTTTGTGTGATGGCCCATTTCAGTGAACATCGTGCGGCTTTGAAATTTTGTTTCCTGGACGGGAAAAATGCTTCAGAAATGATTGTGATGTTGAACACAGTTTGCAAGGTCAGCGCTAAGGGAGAAACTCAAGTGTATGAGTAGTTTTCTCTTTTCAAAACAGGTGAAATATCAATTGATGACAAACCTTGTTCTGGATGGCCGTCAATTTCCCAAATGTACAAAAATGCCCACAAAATTCGTGCACTTGTGGTCAAAGACCAACGACAGCTCATTGAAGATGTGGGGATGTTATCTGCACTATCTTGGAGCTCAGTTCATTGGGTTTTATGAGAAGGGCCACTGTGAAGTTTGTGCCTCCGGTGCGGACTGACCTGGAAAAAGAGCCTTGTTTGGACACATGCGGCTTTGAAAGAACAGCCCTGAAACAACCCAGACTGTTTTCAGGGTCATTGCTGGTAACGAGACAAGGTGCTTATTCTTACGACCCTGAAAGCAAACCTCAGCCAAGCCAAAGATGCCACTGCCACCTCATTCAGAAAAACCCAAGTGAAATCAGAGATCATGACAGTGCTCATTTGTTTTTGTGTTGTTCTTTATGTGAGGGGGATAGTGCTTTTGGACTTTGTTTCACCAGGTCAGACTACTAATCAAGCTTTTTATTTAGAGGTTCTGAAAAGATTGCATAACAGCGTGCAACAAAAAAGACCTGAGTTGTG